AACAACTTCATCAAAAAAAGTATTATATGAAACAATTTCACAAGATTAAACAATTTCATGAAAAAATTTCATAAGATTAAACAATGAAATTGACGAATGAGAGTAGTTTTTACGGTTTTTACAAATTGGAGTGGTTTTTATTTGATCGCTCCTATATATATATATATATATATGGGACCGATCAAATGAAAACCATTCAATTTGTAAAAACCGTAAAAACCTTATTCAACCAATCATAATTTTTTATTTTTTTATTTTTTTGTAATTATGAGAGGTTGATTAATCATTTTTATTGTGGAGGATGTTAATAATGGATATTATCATTTTCCTTATTTTAATTTTAGAGAAATACATGAAACAGTTTCATTAAAATTTCATTAAGTAGTATATGAAACAATTTCATAACCATATATGAAACAAATTCATCAAAAAAAGTATTATATGAAACAATTTCACAAGATTAAACAATTTCTTAAATTTTTTTCATAAGATTAAACAATGAAATCGACGAATGAGGATGGTTTGCACGGTTTTTACAAATTAGAGTGATTTTCATTTGATCGCTTCTCTCTCTCTCTCTCTCTCTCTCTCTCTATATATATATATATATATATATATAAGTATAAGGCGGTGAAGGCTTATGATATTTTAAACCCGTTTTTAGAATTCACCTCTCAACTTTCACAACTTAACAAAAACGACCCAAACTTTTCAAATTAAACCGGTTATCACATTAGGGTCTCATCAGATCAATTGAGGTACGCACAAGTTGACTTAAACACCCATAATTAACAAATTAAGATAGTATCCTCTAACCTTTATCGATCTCAATGATGCATTCCCCTTAGTATTTTGGTTTCTCACAAGTCATAACTACACCATTTACTCCCATAATAAGTCTATAACAATTGGTTCTCATCATAATCATATTATTCCAAAAACGAAAATAATAATAACGAGTTTAATGATAATATCCCTACATATATTCGTTGTAATTATTCTTTTGCCAAATAGGAAATGTATTAACATTTAATTATACAAGGAAAATAGCATATCTTTTCTGCTATAGAGTATGAGAGTGTATGCCATAAAGTGGTTATAGAAACAAGAAATCATATTAGTAAATTTAAAATGCTTAATGCAAACTTAAGAAGTAATAACCTTAAAAAACAAATTAGGTATCATCTCAGTCAGGAAGTAAGTTATGGTATATTTTTAATTTTATTATCAAATTGAAAAAATAATTAACTACTACATTTAAAAACAAACTAAATCTTATGAGAATATAAAGAAAAAATGTTCATATATGAATCATTAAAAAAATATATTTGAAAATCTATATCTGACCTTATATGAACATTTTGTCACATAGGGTCACATATGTATTTTCAAATAGATTTTTTTAACATTCCTTTCTATTTTCTCATGATATTTAGTCTTCTTATTTGAATCTCCCATTACAAAAATATGTACACGAATTTTTAGCGTATAAAAACAAATAAACACATACATAGGTATCTGTTTAAATACGGATCTATTTAAATAAAAATACTGTAAAAAAATGTGACATTTTAAGTTGGACAAAATACAGTTTCTGTTTGATGAGACAAAAAACTTGAAAGAAAACTAAAAAATTAATGTGACAGGTGTAACAGAAAATCCTTAATAATATATTAATTTCCAATTAAAAATCTGTAATTATATATGCTAGCTACCAAAAACATTGTGAATGCCTTTCCATTGCAGCTAATAAATCCTTCTTATTTTAATGAATTATTAATTAATTGCAGCTAATAAATCAAAATTATTTAGAGTATCTAACTCATCTTTTACTGCTCATGTCAAACATAATAAACAACAAAACTGTGCATGAAAACAAATACATGGAATGTGACCGTGACCGGTGCCGGTGCTCGACGGCTGAAAGCACCCTTTTAGTTCGCCGGCTGCCACCCGTACTCTCTCTCCTCCTCCTCCTCCTTTATAAACACCTTCCTATTCATGACTTAGTCAAAATTATATACATCTCTACTTGACATTTGTGTTTATCTTAATGACTAAGTTACTCAAACAACGTTTGAAGATCGATGAAGGGACAAAGATGAACACGAACTCTGTAGTCGTAACAAAGGCGAAACGGACACGGAAGACAGTGCCGCGGGACTCACCTCCTCGACGTAGCTCAATTTACCGTGGTGTTACCAGGTCCAATATCTTTTTTCATGGTTTAATTTTCGGTTTTCTTTAGTTTAACACTTGGATGTTTTGATCGATATTCGTTAAATAAATGACTTTCTGCCGTTTTGTTTCAGGCATCGATGGACGGGTAGATATGAAGCTCATTTATGGGATAAAAACTGTTGGAACGAGTCTCAGAACAAGAAAGGCCGGCAAGGTTGTTCCTTTTTCCATCTCAGTGATTGGAACCCTATTTGATTATCCTTCAAGAAATAGCCAAATCTAATGGAACTCCAATTAACACGGCCCTCCCGCATAGGCTAGATAAGCACAGATTGCCTTACAGTATCGAGATCCTAGAATACTGTAGAACTCGGTTATGATACCATGTGAATATATCAAACCGCAATCAATTACCCTCCAAAACATTTTTTAAGAAGCAGATGGAGGTTCGAACATATGTTAAGAACAATTGGTTCAAATCTAGCCGATACAAGACCGCCATTTTTATTTTATTTATTAATTTTTACCATAAATTAACATATTTCTTCTTCTTCTTCTTCTCCTTGATGCTGTTGACAATGGTGGCTGACTTGGTGAAACACTTGTGTAATTTCAGTTTATCTGGGTAGGTTTACAAATTACATTTTTAGCAAATTAATTAATAATATATATATATATATATATATATATATATCTTTTTTATTTACATTTCATTATTTAAATTCTGTAGGTGCTTATGATGAGGAAGACGCAGCTGCTCATGCTTATGACTTGGCTGCACTTAAGTACTGGGGACCTGATACTATTCTAAACTTTCCGGTAATTATTTTATTTCTTGAATTAATAATTAATTTTAATTATGATTTCTTTAAATCTATTTCTTGGAATTATTATATTATGTTGTGTTTTTAATTTGTAGTTAATGACGTATCATAAGGAACTGAAGCAAATGGAAGGTCAATCAAGAGAGGAATATATTGGATCGCTAAGAAGGTTTTCTTGTCTACTTATAATTAATTAATTCCAATCTATTTAATTATATATTGTTTTTAAATTATTAAATATTTTGGTGACGTCAATTAAATGTAGAAAAAGCAGCGGATTTTCTCGTGGAGTTTCGAAATATAGAGGAGTTGCAAGGTAAGTAGAATTTTATTTGATTCACTTCAATATCTATACTATATATACACAGTAATTTAGATAAATAAATAAAAACACAATTAATATACGTTTAAAATACAAAATGTAGATGTATTGATTATAAAAATTACTATTTTTATAACATACAACAACTAGTTTTATTATCAACTTTACAGATTTTTTAAATACTGGTTTTGATTAAACTTTTTATCATTTATACATTGATATATAAGCAGACATCATCACAATGGAAGATGGGAAGCTCGAATCGGGAGAGTTTTTGGTAACAAATATCTATATTTGGGAACATATGGTAAGATTTCTGGATCTTAATCAAATATTTCATTTTTTTAGTTTTATAGAATGAGATCATATAAATCATTTATAGCACAAGGACAAGCACAAGTTTGAATTTTGATTTTTTTAAATAAATTTTCATGATATAAATAATCCTTTTTTTGCCATTGGTTTTTGTTTGTTGGTTTGGTTGAACTCTACATGTTCCCTCTTTAATAAAAACAACGTTCGACTTGTATGTGTTAAGCATATAGCCAACGTTCCTTCTGGGTCAGGATCAAACCTTTCTTTTGACTATGATTTGGCCCCGTAGTCAAATATGAGAATGATAGATACGAAATCCGGATAAAAAAGATAGAGATATCAGAAAATGTTCCTTGTATATTTCTTTAGTGGGATTATCATCTTATGCTTTTTTTTTTTATTGTTATATTATTTTTCCAGAAAAAATTATCTATAGTTAATGATGTTTAATTGCCAACCTATATACACCATTTAACTTGATTGTGTGTTATAAACTTGTTTAAATGATTAATATGTTTTATTACAACTTAAACATCATGAGTTTAAAACTCATTTGACATGTATAATGAATTGTCTAAATATGTGTAAGTGGATGAATGATAAAAGTGTGTAAGAGCTAATTTTTATCAAACTTGATTGGTTCATCAGTTAACTTAACATTTTAACAACCAACTGAATCAACAACTAGTTTTATGCTAACAACTAACTTATCAGCTAGTTTGTTAAACATAACCTGGGAATCGTAAGGATCTCTTCTTAAAATAATTTGTTTTTGTTTGGTTTTTCCAGCTACGCAAGAGGAAGCAGCTGTAGCGTATGACATGGCAGCAATAGAGTATCGTGGACTCAATGCCGTTACAAATTTTGACCTAAGTCGTTACATCAAATGGTTAAGGCCTGACAACAATAACACTGTTGAAGTTCCTCCAAACCCTAATATCAACATTATTGATGCTAGTGTAACCCCAAGTGCCAATGACGACATAGGATTGAACTTTCTCCATAACCAACCACCACAACCAGTGGTGGAGATGGTGTCACCCACCGTGACGGCCACCATGCCATACCCCTCACGGTCAACTACAGCTACATCAGCCCTAGGACTCTTGCTACAGTCTTCCAAGTTCAAAGAAATGATGGAGATGACCACTGCAGCTGAGTACACTTCAACACCATCCAATTCAACCATCGTACCACCATGTAACAAGTTTCCAGAGGAAATTCAGGTGCATTTTGAGAGCCAAGATTTTGCTGGTTACAACGGTGGAGATGATTTTATTTTCGGTGACTTGAATTTCATGCATAACATGTTGCACTCTGACTTCGACAAGTGATTGTCTCAACTACCGACTACCAACAATGACCACCATCCTAGTTCGAAAATGGTTTGGGCTTTAGCAAACTAATGCAATTTCAATTTAATATTAAAATTTGTGTTCGCATGTTAAATCATGAATATGATGCGAATTAATAAGAGCGGAATATGTAGTACCCCATATGAAAGACTATGAGGAGGGAAATTTCCATTTAGGTCATTGACTTGTGTAAGATTGATTTTAGTTGCCATTTTTTGTAGATAAAATCAAATTAGCCATAAGATGTTGTAATTTATCATTTATATCTATTCATAATAAAACTCATATTTATTTATTTACCAATTTATTATTATTTTTCACTTTTTTATAGACTAATTGCATATCATTGAATATATTACAAGAAATATAGAATTGGATATAAAAAATCAATTTCTTATATTTGAGTTAAAAGGTTGACTAACACCTTGAATGGTGATAAGGTGTATGGAAACAATGATACATACATATATATATATATATATATATATATATATATTGGTGAAGGTTCAAACGAGAACTCCTGTGATTTACGAGAACGCAAGAACAACTTAATAACCTCAAACTTTTTTAATTAATAAATTAGCTTATATTAAATACTAGTTGTGTACCCGCACAATGCAGCGGGAGCTATGAATTTTAACGATTTTGAAGTTCCACTGATTTTATAAGATAAAATTTAACGATGATATATGTTACACTTGGTCTTTACATATTAATACAATTTGAATAAATAGGAGTTATGGTTCCAATTACAGACTATCGATGAAAGAAATTGTATGACAGTTTAAAATCCAATATATTTAAAATCCAATATATTTAAACGACTCCACAAATGTATTCGATTTACACCAAGAGCAAAGAACCAAGAAACTTGAGTTTTAAGATAAACACTCAGAACCAATAAAGAAAACTACAAATTTGACAGATCATAAGCCATGAAAAGACAAAAAAAGATGGGGTTTAGAATGAAATTTCAACTGTTTACCCTCTTTCTTGTCCAGAAACTCAGATTAAGGT